TCTTCTCCCGCGGCCCCGAGCGCTCTGACGTCTCCCTGCAGCGAGCTGGGGCGTTGGGACAGCAGTCCCCGAAAATCATCCATCTTCCGGCCGAGGGAGGGACAGGCTGCGCACACTGCCCCTCTTGACCTGCGCTCGTAATCCTGTCCGCCCGGCCCGCCCACATTGGATTAATTCTGCCCATCCTCGACGCCTCCGCTCCAACACGATTTCACCCCGGGGTTCTGCTGGGTGAGCTGCCTTCGGATCCTGCAAGGGGGAGCCGAGACCCCGCGGCCGGATTCCAGGGGTGGGCCAGCGGGGGCGGGGCGGGGGGGAGCATAGAGGAAGGACGCTTTCAGGCGGGGCTTTGCTGGAGGGGGTTGGAACCAGGACAGCGAGGGACTTTGGATTCTCACACCTTTCCCCCCTCCGTGAACCACACTCCCTCCTCGAGGTCCCAGTCCACAGACCCCCAGACCCTCGCCTCCCTCTTGCAGAGCCCCTTCTCACCAGCACCACCAGTAATAGCCACAGCCCACCTCTGAAAGGGCATTTCAGAGATGCCCTTGCCCACTTGTATGAGGAGCTGCAGGTCGCAGCAGGAAGGATTATGTGAACAGAGCTGACAATAACTTTATTATACACCTGGCCCCTTTCATAAGCATATTGCTTCCATGAAGAAGCTGCTTTGATGCCCATTTCTCTAGGCTGCGACTACCAGGAAGCTCAAACTGTCCCTAAACTGTTAACTCACACACCACTCTAGAGTTGCTTAACTTCCCTCTGCTCCTTCTGTTCTCAGATGTGAAGAACGGTCAAGGGCCCAACTCCCGAGGTTCCTGATGCCATGGATACTAAGGGGATGAACACCATAGCAAAGCAGCAATAAACCGAAGCTGGAGGATGCTGTTGCCCACGTCTAGGCTGGCAGCACCGGGGGCATGTTTGTGTGCTCCTGCATGGTGATTCCTCACCAGTGCTGGTGACTTGTCTTGCTGGTGGGTTCCCTGGTGGATCCCTGGTGTTCCTTGTCAGCTCTGGTGTTGATACTGTAGAAGTTGAAATCCTACATTTTTTTTGCACATATCTGGTGATTCACTGTATTTGTGCCATTCTGAGATTATTACATGGGCACACTGCATGACTGACCGTGCTTGGGCTTGGAAGAGCATTTCCATCCATGTATCTGGCTATAAGGTACACACAAAAAGCTAATTTCAAGATTCATGTTATTAGTCACAGAAATGCAGTACTACTGTCCTGAAGGCATGACCCAAATGACAATCAGGAGGAAAAGTCCACACTTGGCCTGGACTCCATCTGTCCTGGGTTCCCAGCTTCTGTCTGCATCCATCCCATCAGTAAGCGGACGTTCCACTGTCAGGTGATCATTCATAGATTTACTACCTTCCACTTGGCTATGAACTTCTGTTGGTCTTGTCCCCCCGTGTTCCTGCAGAGAACCTGGATCACAGTAGTGTTTAATATGTGTCTGATACATGAACACCTAACCTGAGAAATGGTCAGGTCTAAATGCCTTCTACAACCTTGGGTCTTTGGAGGAGCATTCAGACTTTATCTTTCCAGATTAAGTTGTCAAAAAATGTTCCTTCCCTTTGTTTAATCAAGATAATTTTAGGATCTTTAAATGCTGCTTTGCCCCTATGAGACCATGGAAAAACCACTGTAAGTACATTGAAGTGTAGGAACAATTGTGCGGAAAATGCAACTCTTTGCTAATTCAGGCAAACCGCTGTTTCTTGGGGCCCTTGCAGGCCAGGAAATACCTGGGTCCCTCCATCCACTCCTGGTCTTCCTCTAAGCATCCCAGGACACAGGCTGTCTGCACCCGGTCTTGGACTTGGACATGTGACTTGCTTTGGCACCCCTTAAGGGCAAGTCAGTCTTGCTCAAGGCTGCATCCACAGTGCCTGGCCCAGTCCTAGGCACAAAGAAGAGACTCCCTGGATGGAACGGATGCATCGTCCTGCAGATATAGGAGCCTGAGTCCAACCCCCTAACCAGAAAAGACAATGGATTGTTACTAGCTAGAGAAAGAAACCATAGCATGTTTGATTCAGCCATTCAATACAAATGAGCCCGAACAGATCCTAGCTGGGTAACCTCTTCTATGTCTTTTATTTTTTATTTATTCTTAAAGATTTTTCAAAATTTACTTGTCAGACAGAGAGAGAGAGCGAGAGAGAGCACAAGCAGGGGGAGGGGCAGGCAGAGGGAGAAGCAGACTCCCCACTGAGCAGGGATTGATCCCAGGACCCCACGATCATGACCTGAGCTGAAGGCAGACACTTAACCAAGTGAGCCACCCAGGCGTCCCTCTTCTATGCCTTTTAAAATCTTCACCACAGCCCTGCCAGGTAGAGATGATTAACCCCGCTGACTTCGTTAGGGGAAAGCTAAACTGCTATGAGAAAGAAATCTCACACTGCGATGCCACATTCAAAAGACAGGTCTTTTTCTCTTTCTCATTACAGTCCAGGGCGGATGTTCCCAGTTGGAAAGTAGCTGTGTTCCACATGGATATTCAGGAACCCAGGTTCATTCCATCTTGTGCCTCTACCATTCCCTAGTGTGCCTCTCCTCAAAGGGCTGTTCTACAAGAAGAGAAGGAGCTTGTACCAAAATGTAAATCAATGAACTGCTTCCTCCATCGAGAACATCTTACTATGTCCAGTTAACCCTTGTCAGGGGTTAGGAACACATGGGGTTAGGAACACACGGGTTAGGAGCAGTGTCCACTCCACGGCAGTGTTCCCTGAAAAGAAGGCATGAGCAGATGGGCACCTGGTGTCTCATACACCACGACCCTTCTCCCCAGATCCTCAGGTACACATTGTCTTGTGGCTGATATTCCATGATTTGTGCTTTTCCTTTTAGCTCAGTGACTCCCAGACATTTCATTGCTACGGACATTTTTTAAAATTAATTTCTCCCATAGAACTCAGGTTTTGATGGGCTTTTTATTGCAAAACAGACCATATTGCTTAGATTTCCCATTTTCACTCATCAAAGACCTAAGGAACTGTCCATCAGAATTTCTAATCATGTTGAAATAAGTAGTATTACCACAGAGGATCAATGTAATTCCAGCTTAAATCAGTGGAACATTGACTTTTATAGTTAATCTCTTTTCAGCTTCATCAAGTGTAAATGTATTTTTTTTTTCAAAGATTTTTATTTATTTATTTGAGAAAGAGAGAGCACCTGGGACGGGGGAGGGTCAGAGGGAGAAGCAGACTCCCCGCCGAGCAGGGAGCATGACATGGGACTCGATCCCGGGACTCCAGAGTCATGACCTGAGCCGAAGGCAGCCGCTCAACCAACTGAGCCACCCAGGCGCCTATAAATGTATATTTTTAAGGCAACTTCTTGAAATATGGAAACAGGGCCCATCTCTATCATTGCCCATCATTGTCCAGGCAGGGAGTCTCTGCTTAAGGTTGAGGGGCTATGCTGGCTGTAACTGGTCATTTACACATCGGTGTCTGTGAAGGCTTCGAGGGCGGGTCCTGCTGCAATGAGGTGCCCCGAGATTTCCAGGCCTAGGACAGAGCAAAAGAAGACTGAGAAGGAAAACGGCTGGGAACAGGGCAGTTGTGTGCGGCCTGTGTGTGGGCTCTAATGTGGCCTCTGCCATGCAGGAGCAACTATGTGACCCTAGGCCAGACACTTAGCATCCGCATCCTCATCTCTTCATCTACAAATTGAGTTGGTGTCAAGAGGATTAAATAAGGTCATGTTGTATTTATCGACTGGCAGTGGCTTATTTATTTTAATTAATGATGGAGAAATATAATTAGGGCAGGCTAATTTTTTTTAAAGATTCTATTTATTTATTTGAGAGAGAGAGAGAGTGCACCCAGGCTGTGGTGAGGGGGGTGAGGGGGAGAAGCGGACTCCCCGCTGAGCAGGGAGCCCAATGTGGGGCTGGATCCTAGGACCCCAGGATCATGACCTGAGCCGAAGGCAGACACCCAACCGACTGAGCCACCTGGGCACCCCAGGGCAAGCTAATTCTTATCTTACATTGTGAGCTTCAAGATAGCATAATTTCCTGGTTCCGTGCCAACCCAATGCCCCAGGCTATTTAGCTCCCCTGAGGAGCTAACTTAGTGAGCAGCTATTATGTACCAGGCATTGTGCCTTGTCGTCTGTACATTCACTCTTGTGATCTTCCCAGCTGTCCGAGGACATGGATGTTATTTATCCCATTTTATAAATGTGGACACTGAGACCCAGAAGAAATAAATGACTTGTCCAACACTCTTGGGCAGAGCCAAGAGTCGACCTCAGATCCATCTGATTCCCAAGCTCAAAGTGTGGTAAGTCTGGTAAAACTGGACTTCTGTGTAGCTCCAGGATTTTTCTGGGGTTTGATCAATTTCATCTCCCAGAAGGCATAAAAAGTATACTAAAAATAATTTTAGAATGGGTATTGGGGATAATTTTTAGAGGCCTTTGGGCGAAATCCCACTGCAGACCTCCCTGCTTGCTTGTTTGCAGCTGTTGGCCACTCCCCACCCCACCGTGCCTCTAGGTGTTTGCACATCGCCTTCCTACTCGCTCATGGAAGTGGGCAGACGTGGTGGGAATGTATCAATTTGCTTTCCGGAGAGGCTCAGAGTTTTGGCTACAGCAGGAATGGCCAGAGTCCCAAAATATAGCCCACAATGTCTGAAACTGAAAATGTATTTCTGAGATCTGTCT